TTTTTTTTTTCTTACTCCTTTAACCTCTTGTGAAAAGCTGGAGTTTATCATCCCTTTGAAACAGAAATCAAAATCTAACATCCCCTGTTTTAAATTTCTGCTGAGAGTGCCATTACTAATAAATTAAACCCATTACAGATAAACACTTGCATGCACACAGTGCTGTATTTGTTATAGTAACTATGTCACAGGAAAAAATGTGTTTGACTAAATAAAAAAATATACGGCTGTTTTGCATAAGATTGGAATGGAAATGATACCACAGGAAATTATGTTATGTCAACCATAAAAATAGACTCTCTCAGGCCAGACTGAAGAGGAAAATTAATTACGACTGTGTTACTGTTCCCAGTGATATTATGGGTCTAGGAATCTGGTTCTCTCTAGACCAGAGGGTGGGCTCAGTACAGACAGTAACTTGGAGGAATGGCTAGTCCAATGTCTCATGTAGTCTCCTGTCTCAGGTCTCTGGCCTGGCAGCTTTTCTCCACCCTCTCCCTACTTCTGCCTCCTGCAGGCTCTTCCCAGGTCCTCCCCCTGGTAGCCATTCTTCCACTGAGGCTGCTCCCTGCAAAGTTAACAAACAGGAGTTAACAGGTGCAAGGCTTTTGCCATTTGGTTTCCTGAAGTATCAAAAAGGGCAGTAAAGTAGTTACTGGAGATCATCTACTGAAGACATCAAAAAGCCTTTTGCAAGTTTCATTTAAAAAGCTATGTAAGAAGATTTACCAGGAAAAAGAGCAGCAGAAAAATAGAAAATGACATGGATATGTCATATACTAAAGAAGAGATGTAAACTACAAGGGCTCAACCTTCTTAGCATACAGGAAATGTAAGAACCACAAAGAAATGCCATCCACACCCTCCACATAGGCAGAAGATGTGTTGCTCTGGGAGCCACAGAGACTCGCCATTTGGGATTCAGCCAGTGTGTCAGCCTTATCCTATTGGAGGACCCAACAGTACCACTCTGGTCTCATCCTCCAGTGCCTCTTTACCTGATCCCCTAGGGATCTTGTTAAATGTGGATTCTGAATCAGTTGCCCTGGGATGGAGCCCATGAATCTGCATTTCTAATAAGTTTCTATGAATGTCCCTATTTGTCTGAGGCCTAACTTTGAGGAGCAAGCCCCTAGTCAATTTCTCACATGGGTCGATCAGGAGATTGGTAAAGAATTCAAGGCAGCAGTGGGGAAAAGAACAAAATATCATCAAAAATAAATGTAAAAGTCTTCCTTGGGTAGGCTTCTTTAGGTATTAGAAGCCACAAATATAATCTTCTTAAAATATTTTTAGGGAGGTGTTGAGACAGGATCTAGCCCCAGGCTGGCCTTGAACTCACAATCCTACCACCTCAGCTTCCTGAGTGCTGGGATTACAAGCATGTTCCACTATACCCAGCCACAATGATAATCTTGAAGATATAAAAAGCCAGAGCACCTGAATGATAGTTTCCCATTTTCAAAATGCATGGATTATAAGGCTAGGGAAGGCAAACAGTGGAGGGAGATTCTACCTCCTAATGCCACTAATTCCCCGAGGCCAGGGACCTCAGCTCATACCCCTGCCATTCTGAAGTGATAGGCCTCCATGAGCCAATATTTCTAAAATTTTAAATCTCTGAAGAATATTCTAAGGAGCATCCAAGTTTGAGAAATACAGCCATAGAACCTCAAGATGAATACCAAAGGCTGGACCACAGGACCTCACTTAGAAGCGTGTCAGAAACAGGCTCTCAGCCCGCCCACTTAATGAGAATCACCACCTCCCCCAATGTTTTTCTTTTTCCTCCTTTCTGGGGAAAAACTCCCAATCAGGCATTAAAGCAGATCATATGAAAGGAGCAAGGTTCCTTAGCTGCAAGAATTTGTTTTAGCATTCTTCACCCTGGAAACAAGTGTGGCAATGAGTCTAGAGGAACCACAAGGTCAAACTTGGCATCCACAGCCCAGATACTTCCTGTGTGAATCTCACGGTAGAACGAGCTGCACTTGACTCTGAACTCCCTGCCTGTCTGGACTCACTCTCTTTTCACTTTTGGGAGACAGAACAAGGGGAGGCAACCAGGTTCCTTTTTCCTTCTCCCATCCCTTATTCTAGAGGTAAAACCAATGGAAACATGACCTGTCTCTTGAATGACCAAGCGGCTGGCTGAAGCCTTGGGGCTCGCCTGAAACACCCAAGGCCACAGCTAATGTAGGCAAAGGATCCACAGGGATCACATTTCTCCAGGAAGTGGATCCTGCAAGAATCAGACACAGCTCTACAGAGGGGCAGAAAGCAGAAAGCAGGCTCACATTGAAGGGACAAATCAGTCACTTTGATTTTGTTAGATTCTCTGCTCTGGTGGGCAAAGGAAAACAAATGATCATCTTGGGCTAACATTAAATATTTTAAGCTCCTAATGACTGTCAAATCAATCACTTGCTAGCCCTGGTTTTTACCTTCAACATGCTGGGAGGGAGCAGCCTCAAACCCAGCAGCCTCCAACCCAGGCCCCTGATGCTGGGTGAAGGGCAGAAATACAACTTCTAGCAAAGCATCAAGGCATGTTTGCCAGAGGGCTTCCCTATACCTACTTTTATACACCAAAGACCTTTAAGGGGGCTTTAGACTTTCCTGGAGACAAAGTGTGAATTGAAAGAGACCTGGCCACACAGCAAATACAGCAGGCAAGTGTGGCTCCAGCCCCTCTCCTCCAAGATGGCCAACATTGATGACAAACTTCAAACCTTTTGTGGAGGGGTGTAGGTGGCCATTCCAGTCAACAACTGAAAATTCACGGGAGCTGCCCTGAATCTTGGTCCCTTCCAGGTCATACTAGATGGAAAGAAAATCTCTCCAGGGTTGTGTTCCTCACTCCTCCCCAAATACACTCACGAGATTTGCGGTTGGCTCGGGATCGCTTCCTCTCCCGTGGCACCACTCGCTGACTGGGCACTTGGGTGGCTGACTTGACAATGCGGTCCATGATCTCATCAGCTGCATCGTCTGTGACATTAGGTGAGTCATCGGTTCCCATAGTCCATGAACTAGTGGATCCTGAAAAGTTAAACCACCAGAGAGTACGTGTTACTCAGAGAGAAGGAAAACACAAAAGAAAATACATTGTTCCTCCAAGCAGCTGAGATCTATCAGCAATGGATTCTAGCAAAGGCCAGAGTGAGAGTTCAGAGTTAGTGACACATCCAGGATGCTAACCTGTCCCCACATTGCTCTGCACAACCCTGTACTGAAGCCTTTATTTCATACTACCCTGTACTACAGCTGTGTTCTTGTCACTCATCATTTCACTCCCCTCTGTGTCTTCTTCATCTGCCAAGACCTGTAATAACCAGAGAGCAGATGACCTGTGTAGTACCCTACTGTACCCAGTGATACCCAGCACTGGACATCCAGTAATGTGTGGAGACTGAGGGTTACCTGTCAGCTCTGTATCTGTGGTTGGATGTACCTACCTAATGTCTCTTAAGTTAACTAGGAACCAAAGGATTATGTGATACACAGTTTATCTTTGAATTACCTCACTTTTAAAAAATTGTAACAGGATTACCCTCTCCAACCAGCAATGGAGATGCTGACATTTTTTTTCCTTTTGAAATATTCACGTATTCCTTGGTGAGAAAAATATGTTCATAAATAACTACATTTTAAGACAGTCTGAGTCTGGCATCAGGGTATCTCCCTATAGACAAGCAAGAGGAAGACAACTCGAAAACATGGCTTCCCAAGCAATGTCAGTTGGAAATGAATGCTAATTTAATATATTCAGAGCCAGGCCTCTATGATGGATCAACTTCCTTGTGAAATTTCTTCTGTGATGGTGAATATGTTTCTACAGAAGGGATGATGCATGATGTGTTCAAATCTGTTTATTTCCTCTATCCACATTTCATTTTGTAGTAAATGTACAATTTCAAAAGTCTATAGGTTAGAATTCTCAAACTCATTGCCCAGGGAACACAGGTACCCCAACCTAAGGTCCAGTAAAAATCAAAGAAAAGCCTGCTTTGCCCAACTCAGAATGAGAAAAATGTTAAAACTTTATGCTAATATGTTAATAAACACTTATTTTTAAACATTTTAGTCCTTCTCCCATACTAATTTTTTTTTAAGTTTTAGGCGCTTGCAACCCACCTGCTTGGTAGTGAACAAAGGAAAAATAAAATTTGATGGAAGTAGGTGGGAACAGTGGATAATTCATCGGACTGTGTTTTTCCAGAACATGTGTGTTTGTGGTTGAGTTTATACTGAAAATATGAAATATGCTATAATTTCTGCCAATAAAACTCACATAAAATACATAAATAATTCACACTTTGCAAGAGGAAAGCCAGGACCCCAGGTGTCCCATCACCTGCTCGCAGGGACCTGTGGCTACAGGGCAATGAAGTTTTCAGATGACAAGGTTTTCTGTTGTTGCTATAGTTCTTAAAACTTGTTTTGCTTAGCTTTTTTTCTTTTTAACTTGAAGCATACCTACAGCACTGGCACATGCACCAACAATAAACCATAGTTTTTCTGCTTATTTCTAAGTGAACTTCTTATCAGAAGGCCATTTTTTTCAGCATTATAAAACCTTTTTAAAAAATCAGCTCTTCCCCAAAACAAATTTCTGGAATTGCTGCTGAGTTTGCTGCCTTCTCAGGATGGCCTCGGTGTGGTAACCGAAGGCAGGAGACCTCATGCTGGCACAGCTTTCAGACTGGAACTGCAGAACTCTGTGACAATGGCCCTCCTCAGAGTAGAGCGATCAATAGCACACCTGTGTTTTGTCCAGCACCTTCCTGTTTTCCCTTTCACCCACCGATTGATAATGCTGTGTCTTATCTGGAAAAGTCGAACTGCCCTTCCAAAGGCACAACGGTCCATCAGTTCTGTTTGCTCATAATCCATTTTTGGAGCACTGGACCAGATGCCCTTCTGTTATTTCCCATCTACATGTCCCCAGGGATCTTTGAATGGTACCATCAGGACAGGCTTCAAAAGAATAACTTGCCATAGGTCCAGGATGGTCAGGCTCAGTTTTGTGATAACTTCATTCCCTCACGATCTCATCCCTGGTTCTGCTTTTTATCCTCTCACTGTCTGATCACCATGTATTGCCATTCTTCCTGGTCATGCACACACAGGTTCCTCTTCCTTGGACCTTTGTACCCACAAGCAGCCATCAGGAGAATACTGCCTGTATCACTTACACACCTAAGGGGCCACGTAGCTCATCTTGGTCTCACCAGTCTTCACATTTATGTGTACTAAGATAAAGTACAGGGGATAGAATATTCTGAACCATAATAATACAACATCATTTGATTTTTGCTTCATTTTTCAAGCTATAGAAAGTATAGTCTGAAAGAAATCACTGTAGTATATTTTTCCTTTTAGAATCTAAAGGTAGCTGCAGGCTATAAGGAAAAGAATTACATCAAAATAGATATTAATATTGTTTTAACATGAGGAAAATATTTGCCTTCACTGTGAAAGATAATTTTCCATGGAAACAGACTGCTAGTTCGAAGCCTTTTCTTCTGGTAAGTTTAAAGATGCCAGTCCTTGTCTCTTTTTGGTTTCCAGTTTCTGTGAGCTACCATCCATTCCTACTGTTGGTCCTTAGAAGTAATTAGCTCTACTGTTATAAAGAGTGTCTCTTTGTCTCTGGTTTTTACCAGTTTGCCTATGATACAGCTCTCTTTGAATTCATTCTGCTTGGATTTGCTGAGTTTCTTAAGCACGTGGGTTAACACCTATCATGACCTCAGGAAATATGCAGCCATTATCTTTTTTGATAGTACTCCTTACCCATCTTCTCCTGCTGGTATTCCAATTACAGGTCCTACCATCTGACTGTGTTCTTATATTCTCCCCTTTTATACTTTGTTCCATTTTTTTCCTCAACATGTTTTACTTTGTTTCTACTAACCTTTCTTTGAATTCACTAATTTTATCTTTTGCTGGAACTAATCTGCTGTTAAACCTATCCACGAAGGTCCTTATTGCAGATTTTATTTTGTAGCTCTAGCATGTCATTTGATTCTTTTTATAAATTTGAATCCTCTGTTGAAATCTATCTTTATCCTATATGTTTTCTTATTTATTTATTTATTTATTTATTTATTTTGCAGCACTGGGGACTGAATCCAGGGCCTCACTTAAGTCACACTCCCAGTCTGCTTGTTTATATTTTGTTTTTGAGGTAAGGTCTGGTTAACTTTCCCTAAATTGACCTTAAACTAGCCATCCTCCTGAGTAGCTGGGATTACAGGTGTGTACCACCACAGCTAGTTTGTTTTATATTTTAAATAACATTTCTAATAGTCTTTTCAACTCCTTGCCTGTAATTCCAACATCTTGATCAGTAAGGGGTCTGCTATGGTTGTCTACTTTTCCTCTTGATTGTCAGTCCTATTTTCCTTACTTCCCTTGGCTTATAGTTTTAACTGTAGGCTTGACTCTATGTATAAAAGAATGTAGAGACTGAAGTCAGTGTTATTTTCCTCTAGAGTCTTCTCCCTTTCCTCTGTTAATAGATACGGTAAGACACAGAAATATTTGTGACCAGATGACAGCTTTAGTTAAGAAATCAATCTACTTAAGTTCCTTTTTTTTGACATCCTGAGGGTTGAACTGAGGACCTTGTGCTTGCATCTGTCACTTCAGCCATCCCTCCAGCCCTTCTTTAAAACTGTTGGGGTTGAGATCTGTGTGTATTTAATTGGCGTAGGGGAAGGTGTGTATTCTGCCTTGTCAGCATCTCCTCAGCACTTCAAGACTACAGGTTTCCTTCAGCCTTTCTGGCCCAGTGCCTCTGACTCCTTCCTCAATGCTGCACTTAGCAAATGTGTGGTGGAGAGAACTGACTGTACCTGGAGCCTCTCTGACTCTCGTCTCTTTTGCCAGCTCACTGGGCCGTCACAAGTTCTGCTGGTTTCTCTTTCCCATTAGAGTCACTCCACCTGTGGTAAGCACAGTGCTTTGCCTGTGCCCACATTGGAGAGATGCTGCTAGAAAACTACTCTCAGCACAGCCAGAACTCTACTTGTCCAATCCTCTTTCCTTTCGCTAATGTCTTTTGAAAGAAGGCTTTCTGATTTACTTTTTATTCTACGTGTTGCAGCAACCCTACAACATACTGCATGGAAGCAGAAATCTCCCTTCCAATGGGGGTGACTATGTCTGCTCACTAGTCAGTGAAGATGAACCCAGACTAAGTAAACCCAGTGCTAATTTTTCCCTCAGTCCCATCTCAATGAGCAGAGATGTCTAGTTTCTTTTAAAAGTGTACAACTTTGTCCCATTACTGAACTCCTCTTCCTAAGATGGCTTCCACTGTATCACCCTTTCATCCATCAAGGTACAGGGGCTCGAGGCTCCAGCCTGATGGCTGGTATCACCATGGTGCTAGTTCTAATGCTCTCCTTGACCTGGCCATGTCGAGCTTAGCACACAGAGGCTATAAGAGCTGCCAGGGACAGAGAGGCTCACACCTGGGATATCTTGGGCCTTTAAGGATCTGAGGGTACAAGTGATTCCCCTCACCGTATCCCACAATTCTGGAAAGCTATTTTATTTATTCTATTCTCATAAAATCTTTATATTCTTGTTTTGATTCTTCTAGACAGTCTCTACTGCTCAGCATTTAACGATAGCATTTTCTTCACCTTCTGACTCACCCCACTTTCTTCTCTTCTTTCATTTACACACATGTTCTTGGAACAGAGGCCTTTTATAGACAGCACTGGCCAGAAAGAGGTGCCTTTCCTTCTATGTAGTGAGCCAGACAATCAGATGCACCACATACAAGACACAGGGCTGTGGTTCTTCTCAAATGTGTCTGTCTGCTGTTGGTCACCAAAAGACTACATTTTCCATAGCCAACGCATCAGGTTAATTTTTTTCTTCTCCTAATTCCACATCTAAAACTACCTAGAAATCTACCTGGGCAAATTGAATTCCAGGTGCTGGTTAGTCTTATACCAGGGCAGGGATGGATAGAGACAGCCAGTCTTCTGAGATATTCTTAGCTGAATATCAAAGTAAAAGTCCTATTAAAGATAACAACCAAGTCCAACAAAAAGGCAGAAAAGAGAGTTGGAGTCAATTACTATCCTCACAGGAAGTAAGGAAACAGTAATTTTGTTTAAAAGCCTGAAGTACAGTTCCTCAAAAATGCTAGGGTTCTAGACTGTAAACTTCTGTAAACTTAACTGTTTTAGGCTCTGCTGATCATAAAGTCTGTCATGATAGCTCAAATCTGGCATTGTAGTTCAAAGCAGCCACTGAAGACACAAAAATAAATAAATGTGACTGCATTCCAATAAAACTTTATTTATAAAAATAGGTGGCGGATTGAATTTGGTTTGCAGGCTGAAGTTTGCCAACCCAGCCGTAGTGTAGGAGGATTCACTCATGATAAGAACCCCTTTTGTGGGCTGGGTGTGGTGGTACGTGCCTATAATCCCAGTTTCTCAGGAGGTAGAGATAGGAAGATCATGGTCTGAGGCCAGCCCAAGCAAAAGTCAGACTCTATCTTAAAAACAGGCAAGATGGAGGCACAGGCCTATAATCCCAGCTACTCAGGAATCAGAAATAGGAAGATCGAGGTCTGAGGCCACTAAAAACAAAAGGGCATGACTCACATAGTAGAGTGCTTGCCTAACAAGTATGGGGCCCAGAGTTCAATCCCCAGTACTGCAAAACAAACACTCCTTTTATGTAAAGAAATGTATGCTTTGGGGAATGTTCTTTGGTTTGAGATGAAGTTCTTTGAAAGTGCTAGTGAAGGAAGGTGTTTGCCTAGGTTGGCACTGAAAGCCTAGAGGAAGCTGATGGCCCTTCTCATTCACTCACTGGGCACAGAAATCTGTACCCTGCAATGGCAATTCTGGACTCCCACGGGGTGGCTAAAGGGAGAAGATGAGCTCTGCCCGACAGGAGTTACCTCGACTTGCTCTGCTGCGAGTGCGGACGCCCAGCACAGGGGTGGCATCCTCCACAGCAGGGGATGAGGTTTTCAGCACAGCCTTCATGTTCTCGTGTTCAGCTGCATCCTCAGCATAGCTCAGACCTTGCAGCTGGCTCGGTGGTGCTGGAGAACTGCCAGAGAATTTGCCAGACTGCAAAACCAAAGGAAGGTTAGAAAGGGAAAGAGATTTCCCAAAAAGGCAACTCAAGTTTGGAAAACTTTCAGCTAAGGAAAACTTTCTCTTCTCTGTTTTGTTTTTGTTTGTATGCATTCTGTACATCCAGAGTTCTGGCAGTCACTAAGGTTGTCAACTACTGACAAAACATCTGTCTATAGGAAAGATCTACTGCCAGAAAGAAGCTGTTAGCCCCAGAAGGAACTCCACCCATCCAGCTACTGGTGAAGTTCTCTCTCAGAGGCTCAGACTCAATGGGTGCCAGCCAGGGGTGACTGACATCAATTCTAAGAAGAACTAAAAGTCAAACCTAGGCCCTGATATGAGAACTGGAATATGCCTTCTTCACCAAACGTCCTAAGCTTTAATTTTATAGTTAACACTTGGGAAGGATTCTTCTAGATCTAGCCCATCAGTTTATAGAAAAGGAAACTGAGGCACTGTGAGAATAAGTGGTTTGTCAGGGTCCCAAGTAGATTATGTGTCAAGGTGGAGAACAGAACACCACACAGAAATTCTAACTGAAACTGAATTCAACAAGACTCACTACTTTTGGCTTTGTCACAAACGTAGTTGTTTTAATAAGCACTACAAAGCCAGGATCATGCTTTCTAACTGTACCTGGACAAAAAGGCAGGGCATATATGTTTTAAAGAGATATGGCAGAACACTGTATGTACACAACACCAAACATCTTGGCAAAAGAACAAAATGTCAGATGAACATTTACAAAGAACAGCTCTATGAACTCCCAACTTTCTCTTTCCTTCCAATGTCTCATCCTTGGCAACAGAGCCTATGACACATCTGTGACTTGTGCTGCCTACATGGCTGTCTCCTCACTCTCCAGGGTCAATCAACCACAACTTGGTCTTTGGTTTTTACACCCATATCCAGTTCCAAGGGAGGAGGCCTTGGTCTCCCAGCTCCAAACTTATCTGCACATATCAGAGACTGTCCATGGGCTGGTGACAGTGGCTCTGGCCTGACTACTGGCCACTGCCCTACTTCCTCTTAGTTTAAGGACTCTTTATGTAGTTATTTTAGTTTGTTTTATTGAGACAGAGTCTTGCTATATAGTCCAGGCTGACCTGGAACATTCGATCTCCTGCCTCAGCCTCCTGAGTGCTGGGATTACAGATGAGCACTACTATGACAGAGTAAATATAGGTATTCTAGAATCCAGTTCTTACAACTGAATTGCAAAAGGCTCAGAGAGGAGTCTGGAAGGGAAACCAATTATCTACTTTTCCAACAGAAGGGAGAGATCTGCTGAGCTGGCCACTACTGATTAGCCCAGACTCAGCTTACTCTTCACTCCCTGCCACACACAGCAACAAGAACGCATCCAATGGTTAGCGATCACACAAAAACAACCAGAAAATGTCCATGCATAGTTTAAAGCACTGAATGGTGCTGACACTTCATGCTGGCTATGTTACGTTAGACTCTACAGCAGGCATGATAAGGTCAAATGTGGTGTTCTTCATATTTATCAATAGTCATACCTCGACTTCATCCTCGTCATCAGTCTACCAGACAGGACAGGGCAGGACAGTATGGAAAAGACAGAATGATTCTTAGAAGGCACAGAAGTCAGCACAGATGAGATTATCTTGTCACAACACAATCCCAAAAGAGAAATTGGCCACCACAACCAGGGCACACCCTCTCGAATTGAGAGCTTTCACACCTCACTCTCCTATCCTTCTCCTGATACTTGCTCTGTGAGCTCCAGTTCCAGCCCTGACCAGTGGCAGGAGGGACTTGAAAGACTCCAGGGGCTGCCAATAGGATCAATAATCAGCTTACCTGGCTTCCTGACCACTACCGACCCCCCTCCTTGACAGATAGCTGGGCATATCTTGCTGGGCCAACTACCATCTGCTGGCCATCAGGGCCATAGTAAGTGGACCAGCCTTCATTTACCTGGCTCTGCCCATCTGTTGTGCTGTTGTCCCCACTCATCTTGAGGGCAGACCCCCCTCCTTGCCCAGTCTACTGGACTTGAACTATAGTCCAAGGAAGCCAGAGGTAAAGGGTCTCACCCAGGAGTCCCACTGCTCTCCACTGTGTAGTCCTGGGATTCTCACAGCCCATTTGGATTACGATGACAGGAGAAAGGGCCAGAGCTGCTTGGAGTTTCCTTGTCTATTATCACTATTAGTTTAGAACCACTTTGGGACAGAAAGATGAGGAATGAGTTCCTAACTGAGCTTTGCCTGGATGAACTCTGGATTATGGGAAACTAAGCCTGGTGCTTGGCCAGGAGAAGCTGTCACACTTCAGAGCTGATACAGAGCTGGCTCAATAAAAGGCAGTTTTCAGAGTTTACTCCAGGAGCCTCTCATCTCAGCTTAATTGCTACCACTTCACTCTCATTTAATCTAGCATCTATATTAAAAGTTACTACAAGGTCTCTAAAACCTCTGCTAGTTCCAATGTTCAGAGCTCCATGGTTCTAAACCTATTGTGTGGCTTTGACTTCAGTTGTGTATGTATCATTTTTCTAACCAGATTATGACATACTTAGGATATGAGTTTGTCTTTCATTATACTCACATCTTCCTTGGTGTCCACTGCAATGTTGAGCACACAAGAGTCCTTACTAATTGAGAGTTGGGGAAATCTGAAGCTGTTTTGCTTTGATGACAATATCCTACTATTCCAGCAGATGGCAGTCGATCTACACAAATGTCACTTGGATCTCAAAAAAACGGACCAGGTTGAGAGTAGACCCTGATATCTGTACTGTCCAGATTGTAACGGGAATTTAAATATTTTTTAATCAAACTCTAGAAACACATACCTCTACTTATAACTGGGAAACCAAATGTTCTCAGAGAAGGACAGAATTTAAAAATTAGCTCTGTTTAAAAAAACTCAAGAATTTGGCAAGAAATTTTGATGTGTTTTCATAACTATAAGCATGTTGGGCCTGTGTTTTTTGCCCTACAATGTGTCTCCTCTCCACAAAAGTAAGTTATCCCCTTAACAAATTTTAAAAATAACATTTTGGAATGAAATGTAGGCCGTAGTTTGCCCAAGTGGATTCAATTTGCTTCCTGCATCCTCCAGGAGGCTAAAGATCCTGTTGAAGCCAGATTTCAGAAGACAACAGACTCTCAGCAGATGACACTGGCATTCGGAATCACCAGGGGCTGTAGAAAAGGCTCCTTCTGGAGAAGAGAGGCCTGGTGCTCTCTAAAAGTCCAGAAAATTCCAAGGGGGTGGATGCAAAGAGGTCTATGGCTCTCCTTAGAATTGCCTTAAAAGTACAACAAAACCTAAGTCAATGCATCTGGATCTTCATGTGAAGTCAGCCCCCTCAGGAATGTGAACTCTTAGCAGTAACCACATTTCCTCTGTTTTGTCTATAGCATGAACATATCTCTGGCCACAGAAGGCAGCCTCTCACCATGAGGTCTTCTTAATGGATTTTCTTTCTCCCCAAGGAAACCTGCCTAACTTGAGTTCAACTGAGGCTAAAACCCCTGGGATGAGGCACTCCCTATGGCTTAATCCTTGACTCATTCCACTCCTGCTATCACAGGGAGCCTATCTATTGCTCAAATTCAGGCATAGGTGGGAGAAGATCATTGGCACCAATCCAAACAATGAAAAAAATAAAGTCACACTGAAGAGGGCTACAACAGATTCCAATATGATCTGTTAGTACCAAAGAAGATGGCTTTATTCTTCTTGAGTCTACTCAAGTGAGAATAATTGGTGAGGAAGAGAGAATTCCCAGAAAGTTTCTTCCTTTTGCCTGGAATTGAACTTTTACCTTAGTAGCAATGGATAAGGTCTATGAGAAGAAAATCTGGCTTCCTTGGTTCATAAAGCCACACCAGAAAGACAAACCCGCACTGGGTACTTTTGGCATCCTTTCACTCTCCACTTACTGAGTGTGTCCCGTCTGCACACCCACTGCGCTGAGGCCTGTGTAGGCTCAGGGGTGACATGGTAGAGATGAAGAATCCAGGATCAGGGAGACATCTAAGTGTCCAGGGGCACCTCAAGGTGTTATAGGGAAACTTCTGCTAGTTCTCTTCCCACCGCGACATTCTGTGACTCCAGGGACTATGAAAAGCCCATCAAATTATGTCTTGAAGCAATCACATCAGTCTCTCTATTCATATGCCCCAATGGATAGTCCAGGTCACTGGCTGGTTATATAACATTGTTATTATATGATAATTAAAATCCTGAATCAATTCCTAATCAATACACTCGTCTTCCTATAAGTGGCATTTCCTTTGACATTTTTCTTCTCTTCAACTTTACCATGCACTTAAATGACATTAGCACCATTACACACCAACATGGGCAATGTGTTCCTCCTCCAGTCACAAAATCTTAATTTTCTATGCCATAGGTCCTTGTTTCTTACATAGCAGATTCCCACAGAAATGGTAGAGGAACAGTTTGATAACACTTTTAAAGGGGGGTTTTTCCCCACAATAGGAAGTAGGGGAGGGTGACAAAAAAGGCACAGCTCCCAAGACGTGAGGATTTGTGGTTGATCTTATTTCTCAAAACAAATGACAAAAAGAGAGTGATGTTGTGAAACTTACATCGGTGATCATCTTCCCTCTGGTCTTATTCCTCTCTCTGTGGTTGGCCCGCTTCTGTTTCTGCTGCAAAACTCTTTCCCTGGTGGTACGATACTCTAGTGCAAATTCACTGATGATCCTGCAGAACTTGTTTATATTCACTTCCCGAATTGCATAAGGTGGGTGACCCATAAAGAGCAAGAAGGAGTGAAATCTGCAAGGAAGAAAGTGATGGCAATGACTTCATTTTAAAGTAACAAAAATTACTGGTCTAAAATCTTTCCTAAGTAACCAATGAGCCAGATTCTCAGGGGAGGTCACTGTTTTTCATTCCTCAGACTTTGAGTTTCAAGAGTCTTCTCAAGAGAGAATACAAACACTTTTTCCTTGATGGAAATTATGTCTAGGTGGTAAAATTTTTCTTATCTGTAGTCTAATATTTTTCTAAATAGACATGTAAAACTTTCTTAAAATGATAAAGTAGTATTTTAAGGAAAATATTTGACAGTTTCTAGATTATATAAGAATTGAATAGGAATAAGGAAATATTGCTTAGAAATTCTTTTAATGAGGGCCAGGTGTGTGGAACATGTCTGTAATCCCAGCTACTCAGGAGATGATTGAAAGAATAGAGGTTCAATGTCAGCCCAAGCATAAAGTTGCAAGACCCTATATCAAAACAAGCCAGGTTGACGGTGCACACCTGTAATCCCAGTCACAGGGGAAGCATAGAAAGGAAGACTGCAGCTCAAGACAAGCCTGGGGCAAAACCATGAGTCCCTAACTGAAAAATAACTAAAGCAACCAAGGACTGGGGCATAGCTCCTGCCTAGTGTGGGGCCCTTCCATCTACTGGTGGAGTTCAAACTCCAGTACCATAAAAAAAAAAAAAAGATGAAAAGAAATCCCTTTAATGAATACTTGGAACAGATATGAACATATGACAGATAACATTAATGGATGGTTTATAAATATATGCTTATAAAATTTTCTGAGTATTGTTAAACATATCTTATAATATTACATACAATATTAGTTTAATTAGGAAAGACCAAGTAAGCAGAAAAAATAAGTTTATTTTATTTATAAATAAAATGTAAACTCAATTTGTAAATTAAGAGTTATTAGATCCTATGTGTTTTAAAATTTTGTAAAATAGTCAATTTCAGTTATCAGGAAATAAGAAAAAAGATAGTAGGAAACAGAGGGAAATATTTATATGAAACAAACAGCATTAAATAAATAATATCCCTATTTGTAGACAAAACCTTTTGGGTTTGACTAGTCTAGTTTATGCAGTTTGAATACGGGTGGTGTTTATTTTTTTAATGAAGGACATTTTCTTATTCTTTTTTGTGAAAAAGTATAAACTAAAGTATACAACTTGTGTTTAAACTAAAAGGGAGGTAAAAAAGTGCTAGCAAAAACTAAGAAACTCTTAGAAGAAAACAGTCTAAATCTTCATGACTTTGTATTAGACAATGCTCTTTTAGATAAGATACCAAAAGCATGAGCACCCAATGGGGGAAAAAAAAAACTAGATAAATTGAACCTCTCCAAAATTAAAACTAAATTTTTTGTTTCAAAAGGCATCACCAAGGGTGAAAAAGACAACATTTTGAATGGGATAAAATACTTGGAAATCCTGTGTAATAAGCCACTTGTATGTAGAATATATAAAGGAATCTTACAACTAAATGTTGAAAAATAGATGGACGAAGGATTTGAATAGATCTTTCTCCTAAAAAGAGACACACATAGTCTAGAAGTACATAGAAAGATGCTCGCCATCAGTCAATAGGGAATGCAAATCAAACTCACAAGGAGAGACCTTCCACTCCATACTCCTGAGAGGGCTAGAATCAGAGACAGATGAGAGTTGGTGAAATGTGGAGAAACTGGAAACCTCTTCCAACACTGGCAGGAACAGAAGATGGTTCAGCTGCTACAGAGAACAGTCTGGTAGTTTCTCAGAAAGTTAAATGTAGACCTTCCAAAAGATCTAGCAAATTTAAGTTTGTGCACATATCCCAAAGAAATGAAAACAAGTGTACACACAAGACCTTCTACACAAATGTTCACAGCAGCATTCTTCACAATAGCCAGAATGGGTCCATCCCCAGATGAATGGATAAGCAAAAAGGAGAGTCATGCAAGACCCTGCAGGACAGGCCCCACTACCTCTCTGACATCATCTCATATGACTTAATCATACTGGATCCCTGGTTTTCCTTGAATAAGCTCACCATAAGACCTCAGGCCCCTCTGCAGTGTGTAGGAAATCCTGGATGGACACAGAGGTGGAAGAACTGACAGTCTGCAGGACTTGTGGTGGTGGGAGGGGTATGGAGGCCACTCACAGCCTGACAAGTGCCAGCAGCTTGCTCTCTATGCCACAGAGAGCGCATGGATGTGCTCTTTCATCCTATACGTCATCTCCCCAGGAAGGCCTGTCTTGAGCACCTCTTGCAAAACAGAACCTTTTTGTCACTTTCCATCCCACTTGTACTCTAATTTGCTCTTCCTGGCTCTTATTGCCAACCAACATTATATATTGGATATGAAATATAGGTTATGAGATGAGGACAGGATAGACTATTGTTACTGTTCTACACATATTCCCTTCTGTCACTATTTAAGAACTTTATGAAGGAGGAATCAATGAAAAGACCATCAGTCCATAGCTGGGTTAATACTTTGTTTCATTTTTTATTTTTTGTAGCAATACTGGGTTTGAACTTAGTGCCTTGTACTTGCTAGGCAGGTAATGCCTTCAGTCCTTTTTTGTTTTAGTTATTTTTCGATGAAGTGTCATGTTTTGGAGCCCACCTCAGCACAAACCTCCTACTTACACCTCCTGCAAACCTGAAATTACAGACATGGACCACCATGCCTAGCTTTTTTGCTGACGTGTAGTCTTGCTAACTTTTTGTACAGACTGGTCTTGAACTGCAATCCTCCCAATTTCTGCCTCATAAGTAGCTGGGATTACAGGCATGAGCCACCATGCCCAACCACTTCATTCTTATTACATGACCTTTCTGGGTTCTCTTTTATATGTAACACACTCAAGACCCCTTATCCTCCTAAAACATTGTTTTTGAATCCAAAGGGCATCTCAACGTAACATATAATTTGGAACTGTAATTCAAAAATATATTTTACAAATAATGAGAGTAACAAATCAGCAAGTAAAATTCACACCTGAAAAAAAAAGATTTAAATACACATTTGAAAAGAGACCCACTATACATTCCTTTAGAAGGTGTAACTTGGAGTAAAACATTTACGTTGACTGTAACTTTTAGAATATATGACACAAAGGTCATGCAGTCATGGAGGGGCTGACTCCTTATCAGTACCCCAAGGCAGAAGTCAAAACATCTTTGGTTTGTTCCATTACCTGCCTTTTTACTGAAGTGTACCACTGAGAAGGGGTATGGCACAGGGTGGGGGAGGGATGGATTTCAGAGAATGGTCTCTGCTTCCCAATACGTGAGGTCAAAGGCTAGCCCAGCAGGCTTTCTGGGGGATGTTGGCAGGAAGGGAAGGAAAAGGAAGCAAATCAGCTGGGCTCTCAGTCTTCCATCTCTATTTCAACAAGATATCCCTGCTCTGATCAGTTCCACATATGGGGCTCCTGCTAAAGACGTCATTTGAACCCAGGTTCTTTGCTTTAGATGTCTTGGACTGGCCACCGCTGCTACCCTGGTTAGCCATGCACCTTTTACTACCATAGTGAATTTCTGGCCCATCCTGGTCATCCCTGGTAGGATGGCAATAGTGAGTAGATAGGAATTTGGGTGAGGCAGGAGCAACCATTATCCAAGTGACCAGCTTAGATGGAACAATTAGAGCACATGTATATATCTTAAAGAATAGCCTTATCACCCAAATGATTTTTTATCTGTCTGAGATAAAATGATTAATAAAACCAGGCACAACAGCTTTATAAAATTTTCATAAAATTGTTCTAGTTTCATGACATTCCAAATGGAAATTATTTATTTGCTTATTTTTTTTTTTAAGTTGGAAATTGCTTGTATCATACAAAGCATGAAGGGTCAAACCAGCTCATATTCCCTACATCCCCTCTTTACTCATGTTAAAAGCATAGTGTTCTTTAATTTTAGTAAGAAATTTGATAAAATCTCTTATAAAATTCTTCTTTCCAAAGGGCAATGGGAAGTTCAAGATGAAGTGTAGTTAGGGGGATTTAAAGTTAAACAACTAAATCCCACAAATCCGTATTAGTGGATAGTTGTCAATCTAGAGGGAAGATTTTTATACCTCATTTCTGTCCTGTTCAACATTTTAAAACCATACCCTCTGTTTTTTTTCAACAGTCTGTATCAAATGACCAAGGAAATATAATTATCAAAGCAGCAAATGACACAAGCTGAAAGGAGGTGAATGTGAAGACAAGAGAATAAGATTTTTGAAAGTCCCAGGTAAGTTCAAGAAAGATGAAAGAAGGAAAGGAGAGGTGAGGAGAGAAGGATGGAGAGAGAGGGTCCTACACCAATATTCTGTGATGAAGCACAGAAGAAAGTGGTGGCTCAAAGCTGGAAACACCCTTGCCTGGGAAGTTAGAAGACCAGGGTTCTAGTCCCGGCTGTTACCACTTACTAGAGGACGAGCCCTGGACAGCCACAGAGCCATGCTAGATCCCAGCCAGCCTTTTTGTGGGTAAAGCAAGGCCTGGTCAATCACTGCTGTGTCTCCAGGGTCCTTTTGGATCCTGTGACTCTGAGGAAGGCTTGTCCATAGGACAGAACCTTCGGTGGAGCCCAGCCCTCACTCAGGCATGTATGGTGAAGAGCAGCTGCTGGAGAATTCACCATTGCAAGGCCCTCAGAGGCCAGACTGCAGACCTGAAAAGGGAGAAACTTTTTTCACAAGCAGAGTTGCCTTGCAAGGGAGTAGGCTCTTTGTAGGTGAAACTGCTCAAGAGGAGGCATTCAATTTATTATAGATCTTACAAATGCAATTCCTGATTAGGTGGGACCTTTGGATCAAATTATCTGTGACATTTCTACCAACTTCAAGATCCAATGGCATTCTATTTTTGTGTAAGAAAAATTAAGTATCCATGAAATTGTTAAACGTGTCTCACAGTATACTTGCTATGCGCTGAGGATATCTGGTAACATTTTTATAAACTTAACCTTCAAATCCTGGCTTGCAAAATATTTCCAACAATACTGATCTCTCTCTAAGTTTGATATACTTACCTGTTAATTATTCTTCTATGCACAATCTTCAAAATTATAATTCGTTCTGCACAGTCTTTTAGAAACTCTGACATCCGTTGCTTTAAAACTGGTTTCATTTCATGTTTTGCAATAGCCTTGAGGTGATCCCATGAAGCTTTGCATCTTCTCTCCATCTGACATAAATTATCCTGAAGTTGATCAAAGTCAACCTGAAAACAGAGAGGGAACACTGCAAATGTGCTGAAACCACTGGACACCAACCTGAACTGGGAGACCACAGTGCCTCCAGAAAGAAACAAAACATCATAACCAAATCTACATCTTGAAATACAAACATATTTATGGTCTGGAAATCATTCACATGTGAATTTGTTATTATCTCCACATCGATCTTCAGTGATAAAACTGTTCTCCAAGTGAACCCAATACCCAAGTCACCTTTTCTTGCCCTATTTGGAAAGAAATGTTCTGAAAGTCTTTGAGAACTGTAAATTAAAACATGAAATGAAAGAACCTAGTACAAGATGAACTGAGTAGATGTCTCATAAAACTTTTCATAGCACTATTGTTCTACTGGGATAATATTTTAGAAGTATAATATTGTAGAAGCAACCTAGTCATACATGAATGACTCTGTTATGCCAGGGCCAGCTCATGGGTGGTCAGCTTCTCTTCAGCATGATCTCCTGCATGATTTGGGTGGCAAATTATTTTGTTCATCTACCATCCACACATTCAACCAACACTCATGGAGGACCTAGTACACACCAGTCCCCATATCAGGCATTAAATATACAAAGACAAATACAGAATGCAACCAAATTCATACCTTAAAGAGCCTCACCATCCTATAGAATGGGCTCACAAAACTCTGAAGAATATAATGCACCCACCAGACCTGTGTTAAGGGGCTGGGAATGAGATCTTGAAATGAAAATTATGCAAAGAACAGGTGACAGAGCACCAGTGTTGTATTCAGGGAAGTGCAAATAGTTTGGATGACTGAAATGGCCTGAATGGGGTTTTCTAAAGTAATGCTTTAATAAAAATTCTAGACTAAAAATTACATGAATCAAAGAGTTATTTAGTCATAAAAATATACTTGAGAGTCACATTTAATGGAGATGAGAACTGGGAAAGAAACTGAGAGTGACAGAATGAGAGAATTAGATTAGCAAGTGGGCAGGCTGGAGGGGGACTGAGATGGATAGGGAGTGAACAATAGTGGGACACGGTAAGAGTGTGGCAAATAGAGGAGCAGAAGAGCAAGGAGGTGAGCTGCCACTGCTCAAATGCCAACGACCATGGTGACCAGGGTCTGGAGAAGAATGACCAGAAAAAAAAGGGACTTGCTGGAGTGAATATAAACTACTAGCTCCACCCTCAGGACAAGGGAAGGGATCAAGTTAATACAGGCAGAACTGTGAGATGATCTGTGACACTCAACAGGAACAGCACTTGGAGCACAGAGGATGCCCTATGGCCAGAAAGGAGAGGGCACAGACTGGATTTCTTGGGTCATGGAGCCAAAAAGGCTCTGGGACTGAAGGCTGAGAAGAGGCAGCAGATGACCTCATGGCCTCCTGTTGCCAGCGACACAAACCTGGGTCAACAATTATCTTCAGTAATTGCCAAAGTTAGTGCTCAGGGACTATCTGCAGTCCTAATCTATATGGTCAATCAAGCATAAGTTATGTCTCTATTAGGTAAATGACAACTAAGCATCCAGTAGACTTTTGGGAAAGGCCTGATACTGAGGGGAGCTGATGCCCTAGGGCAGCCTCTGGGGTCAGGTTCGGTCTGTGTTGGGACTCCTAGTCCAGGACCACTTTGGTTATAGCCAGCTCAGTTGGGGTAGCCCTAGGTAAAACTGAAGGACTGCACAAGAATGGAACTGATTTGTTCTGGGTGGCTCTAGAAAAGACCAAGATGAAGGGGATCCAGACAGTCAGACAGACTTTGTCTGTAATTCCTAATAAAACTGTCTTCTGATGAGATGCTCATGGGAATGTTGGGGCAGCAGCTCGAGGACCCTCTGCTGGGACACTCAGAGGGGCTTTCTGCCTTGGTTAGAATACTGAATACTTGTAAAGACCACAGAGTGCCTGTCACAGAATAACAAGTGCTTGTTAAGTAGAGGACTCTGTTCTGAGAAGCCCTTTGGCAGCTTTGAGTTGGGGAAAGCTAGGCTAGGCCTCTTTTCACTTCAGGGCAGATATGCTATCAAGCCAACTGAGGGGTCTTGCTTGGTGCATCTGGTGGCTGCCAGCCTTTGACTCCTGAGGCAGGCAAAGGAGGCCCCCACAAGCCAGTCCTGTGGTAGAAGACAAAGAGAGTGAGAGCTCCTGCAAGGAGACCTTCACTGCTGCCCACCCCATTCCTTGCCCACCTTGCCCTCTACTCCGTCTCCTCATCTCGCACTGAACTCTGATGTATCCCAGCACTATTAGCTTCTACTCCCCACCCCATTTAGTTACCAGGAGATTCCTTCATGCTGGCTTGACTGCTGTGTCCTGTTGAAGGGTGCCTCCAACTCAGCAAGCTTCCTAAGCTTCTATGACCTTCATTTCTCCCAGTTCTCCCTCAGTGATTCTCCTACGCTGGAGGCAGCTAGGTGGTCCACATATCGCAACTCTCGTTTCTACTAAACCACATGCTCATGGAGACACTAGCTCTGCACTCACTTTAAGAGGTTGCAGCTGAAGGGCCAACGCTATATACTATTTACAACCCTATAAAAACGTTCCCTGTGTGTAAGATCATTGGGATGGACAATCTGTAAGCAACGGGGCCAGGCCTGCCCTGTTTCCTGGCTCCATGCCTCACTGAAGGTCCTACGGACATCTCAGGAGGAGCCAGAGGGCGTCTTTTTGCCGTTTGCCTACCTAAGAGACAGACTGTGCAGTTGTAATGTTCTGGAGACTCCAGCCTGGTGAGTAACACTTTCAAGAGTGGATGAGGGAGTGAGGACTTGGATGGCAGGCTTGTCTTACGTACCTCAGTAGGAAAGAATCTGACCAAGAACCAGAGATAGGAAAAAGATCTTAAAAGTTCATTAGAAACAGCATAAAACGAGTCATATTCACAAACTCCAGAGCAGGGAATGCAGGCAGCACTGAATGTCTTTCTTAATACAGCATGTGCGCCTCTGAGTGACACATAAAGATCCAACAGCAGACGCCGGGGCAACACTGGCTCCTCTGTGTCCATGGACGTACCTTGGCTGACCTGGTGATGGCTCCGATCTCTGAGTACAGATCAGAGCTGTCTGGAAAGTTTTCCACCACCATGGTGCACACATGGTGGAGAAGAGACTGCTTGTGCACTGTGTCTTTGACTTCTGGAACCTTCTCGAGGTAGCTTAACTCAAACGCTTTGGCCTGTTTGATGACATTAAATAAAAGATGAGAAAAATGTTTTATGTAGGCTCTTAGAATTGCATAGAATCAATACCCTGCTATTTCAGCCCAGAATTTGGTTTCTCTGTGACTGAAGCTGTAGGGTCACACACTCCATCCTCCCATCACCGACTGCTTATGGAGCAGCCACACTGGAAAGGAAGTTGAGTCTCCAGCCCTTTCCCACCACAGTCCCAAGCCACACCCCGGAGCTCACCCCTCAATCAGAGTGTCAAGGGACTGAGTCTCTACGTCTGAGTACCGACAGCTTCTTTCTCCCCTGACCCTGCTTCCTGTCTACTTTCTGACCAGAGCAAGCCCAAAAGGAAGAACGACAAAGTTACTTTAAAAAAATTCAGAATGTGCATTAACACAAATATTTGAGTGATAAGCTCAGGGGAAAAGAAAAACAGGGCAGAAGAAAATTTCTCAATGTCAATTTTGAGAGCAACAGTTTGTAAGGAAAAGTGTGCTTATTTTCCTAAGCTTCCTAACTTATAGCAAGGTTCACCTTCAAATAAATGGGCCCAAATAAATAAATGTCTGAAGGTCAAAATTCCTTCTGCTTTTCAGCAAGACAAACAACACAAAAGCTGTTGTACTGTGCTTTAGGGAGACCAGAGGTATAGCCTCCTGAGGTAAATGGCAGGCAGGGATTTAGTGACAAGAGAGGCAAGAGGATAGGAGTTAGGGAAGACTTACATTAGTTCCATTTAGAAAGTTTCCAATGGCTAGGAGGGTAGACAGGATATAGCCCAGGGTTTTATTGTTTTCCAACTGGTCTATTCCTTCCTTCAGGTCCAAAAGTGGTTCTGCCACTTCCTTTCAGTTAAAAAAAATATATGAAAAAGAAGATACATGTTGGCTTTCTTTTTTCTTTTTCAGAATAAGGTAACAAGAAGCAGAGTTCTCCCCAGCACAGAGCAATCTCACCTGATGAGCATTTTCTCCCAGGTACAACAAAGTGCCAAAAGGCAGCAAGGAGTCTAATCTACAAAATTCCATGGTGGAGATCAAGCAGAGCTCATCCTGGGGTGACAAAGGCTCTGTCTTCCCTGGTCTTCCTATTGTCTAAGCCTAAGCATGACCTGCAGGTCATTCCTCCCCTCACTCTGCTCCTGACCATGGCTGACTTTCAAGACAATCTTCTTTATAATGCCCCTTTAGCATCTAGACCACAGGCCTCCTCTTTGCCTTTCCTCCTTCTAGGCAGATGATTCTAGAAACTCTCCTCACTATCACTGGACCACCCTGTTCTCCTCCCCTCCTCTCTAGGCACTCCATGATGGCTACCCTTTTGCCAGGGTTACTCATTAGAAGGTCACAGTCCTTGTTATTACCATTCCCCTAGACCTTTCGCTTGCCCTGTAGTCTCACTGTCTGTCTGTCTATCTCTCTCTCTTTGCCCCTCCCCACCCCACATCCCTACTGGGGCCATCCCCTTGCCTGTATCTCAAAGCCAGGAAGTTCAGCTTGAGTTTCTCCAACATCCTTGCTTCTGCTAGGGTGGCCCTGCCAGTCCCCAACTAATATTGGGTCAGTTGCCTGCTTCCTCCAAGGTGTTGCCAGAGAGTCACCTAAGTGTACAGACTGGCTTTGCAACTGAGTTATACCAGTTGCCTTAGCAGTCCTAGGCATCTTCATCCCTGCTTGATTCTCTAGTAAATTCAAATACAATACAGGTTGAATACTGCTTATCGAAATTACTTGGGACCAGAAGGGTTTCTGATTTTGGATTTTGGGGAGTATTTTGTAACATCTGCATATAAATAATGAGATATCTTGGAGACAGGACCCAAGTCTAACCATGAAGTTCACTTACGGTTCATATAAGCCTCTTAAACACTGAATATAATTTTATACAATGTTTTAAATATACTTGTGTTTTGATTGCAACATATGATATGAGATCAGGTGTGATATTTTCCATTTGTGGCATCAGGTTGGTCCTCAAAATGTTTTGGATTTTGGAACATTTGGATTTCAGAGTTTTGGATTACAGATGCTCAACCTGTGTTTTCCCCCTGGAGTCCCTAAAACCCACTGACACCCAACTGGCCCTCAGTATATGATCTTGCTACCTCATTTGCCAGAAGACGGAGATATATGGCCGGTACGCTGGGGCTTCTGAATCTTTTGCTCTAGGAAATTACACTCATTTAAGCTCCCCTGCAGTGTGCCATCCATTTTTCCAGTTCCTTCTCTACTGGCTCCTACTCAGCATACAAAAATACTCCCACTGCCAGTCCAGGAAGGATGTCTGGGTCTTACACTTCCTATTCAAGAGGAGTTTCTCAGTGCCTTCCCCATCGAGGTCTCTTTCCTTCCAGTCATCTCAGTACTTTCAATCTACCTCATCTTCACTTTTCTACTGAGGATGTTTTCCGGAAGGCACTTCAGTACCTGCCAAACTGTCATGGTCAATGGCAGCTTAGGTGATTCTCATCAGATGGAAGGATGACAGAAAATTCTCTATATTATGCTATTCTGTATATTCCAAATTTTATACAACAAAAATACAGAGGAAATTTTTTTTATTTTTAAAAAAATCATTTACCCGGTGCTCACAATCAAGGGTCTGAGGCTACTGCCAGGCAGGCACTTTGGCAGGCTGATTATGACTCAGCATAGACACAACTTACATCACTCAGTGTTAGTGATGATACAACAATGTCACATCAACTCACCCTCCAAATCCTGTGTCAAGAATGATACTTCACTAGCTTAGTCGCCATTAATGTACAAAAAAAAATCAGCTTTCTCAGTACTGGGGCTACAGAATTGACTGCCTCACTTGCAAAGTTCTTACCTTTTCTGTGGTTTCATAGTCCATTTTAAACGCCCAGAGGTGGAGCCGAGCCGAAAGTTCGCTGATGGAGGAGAGTATGAGGAGGAATTGCTCTGCACTGCCCAAGGGCACTTCAGGGTTGGCCAGTTGAGCTTCCTGGATTTTCTGCTTCTCCTCTTCGGTGGGAATCATGGTTAGAATTTTCTGGAACGGTGGACCCAATTCTTTCTTAGTGATGGACCCAATTCTATCCTTCCATGTTTTCAAATTCCTATTACAGTTTCCCAACTAGGTAGTAGAAATATTCTATTTTTAAATCACATACAGACATTATATTATCATAATTAAATATATGTTAAACAACTTGCCCCAAATTTTCTGAGCCTGACATGTGAAAGATATTTTAGGCAAAAAAGGGAGTGGAAGGTGAGAGAAAGATGAAAGAAGATTGAAGAACAACTCCCTGTTCCCTAAGAATGGGGAATGGCGCAAGTGGTAGAGCGCCTGCCAAGTAAGCGTGAGGGTCTGGGTTTTGGTGGTTTCACTACCATCAAACACATGACTGGAATATGTCAAGAATATCTGGTCTGTAGTACTTCTCATGGATTAATTTAAGAGCTTTACAAAAATTTTCCATTTACAAAGAACTCACATTGACTTTTGTTCATGCTGAAAAACTTACATAGAAATGATAGTACTTTGAATAATATCAAACTCAAGTCTAAGGAAAAAAGTAATTATGGAGTTTATAAAGAGAAATATCTACCTGCTAGTGAGTACAGTGTATCTTTTTATTTTTATTTGTTTCTGGTAAAAATCAAATGTGAAAGGCAGAAAAAGCAAAAAGAATAAGAATGATTATGATTCTTACAGGTTCAAATTCCTTAGCAATTATATTTTTAAAAAAGATAAAAATTCTCCTTTTTAACCTTACCATTCTTACTTAACATGTTATGGTATTCCTAGCCACGCACAAAAAGTGGGGGGATAAAAATCATACAGACTAGAAAAGGTAGAATTGTTCCTATTTGCAGATGACATGATTGTTTATATAGAAAATTTATGAAGAATCTACAAAAAAATTTCTAAAACAAAAAATGAGTTCAATAATGTTGCATGATGTAAGATAAAAATCTACTTTATTTCTACATATTGATAATGAAATTATTATAGGTCATAAATTAATATATAATATTTATGATCTGTACTTTGAAACTAGAAAATGCTGATGAATGCAATCAAAGAGGATGTAATAATAAATGGAGAGAGCTTCCATGTTCATGAACTGAAAAACTCAGAGTCAAGATGTTAATTTCCTCCCAGATTTATCTATAGACTTAATTCTAACACTAGCAAAATTTTTGGCAGATATACAAAAAGCTGATTCTAAAGGTTATAGAGATAAGGGCAAAATAGTTTCTGCTGGGTATTGAGGGGGGGAGCGGGAGGGGGCGGAG